CTACTGCTCTGGTCATGTGACACTTCCTTTGGATCCTGTCCCTGACTGCCTGTGCTGCACTACAAAAAAGTCACAGTTGTTACTTAGAATCGTAGAATCATTTTGGTCCTTAGAGCTGTACCCCCATCTCCATCCATGACCATGGCCTTGTTATTCCTTACACTCTGCCCTGACACCAAGGTTGGTCTCAAATACTCTTTCCTCTCCAGCCTTCTCCTAAAACACCCATTATACATGTGATGTTCCCTCCACATGAGCAATCATAGAATCATGGAATGGTTTGGCCTTAAAGATCATCAATTCCAACTCCCTGCCATGGGCAGGGACACCTTCCGTTAGACCAACTTGCTCAAATCCCTGTCCAACTTGATACCTCACTTCCCACAGCACTTCCAATACACCACTCCTGGGGACAGTGCTACAGGATAATGGCTTGGGAGGTGACCAGAGGAAATGACCACTATTTCTTTTTCTGGTCTTTGCCTGCATTTTCATAGTAGAGTTTTCCCAGACATTTTCTCTCCATCAATGGAAGCAACTAGTCTTAGCAGATCCTCGGGGAGCAAGGCAGAGAACAGTCATAGCTCCTCTCCCCAACAGGTAAAGATGGAGAAAAATCAGAGCTCTTGTGATCTCTTGGATCCATTGGAAAAAGCCACATATATCTTTTGCAGTACAGCTTTCTCAGGTAATCCTACATACAAACACAGCATACTTTCTTCTCTGTAAATGCTTTCCAGTCCCACTGAAGGAGCCTGATAAAGCAAAAGAGGAGAAACAGCCAAAACTGAGATTGAAAAGAGAGGTAATCTCCAACTGTAAGAAGACTATGATTGCTACATGTGTAGTAATTCTTCTAATTTATCCAGTCTAGTTGCAACTTCAAAATGATGAGACTTTCAGCATATGCTGTAGGAAATACTTCCATAGTTCAAGAGATCTTACTGTCAGGGCTCCTTCCATCTCAGTCTAAATGTTCCCATCTTAATTTTATCCCATTACTCTTAGTTATATACTATATTCCAGGCTCAAAATAATTCCACTCCCACATGGTATTGGTATCCCAATATTTCTATCCTTCACTACCCTCTGGCATAGGAAGACATTAGAAAAATATACTGGAATAAATTAGAATTGTCAGAAAAGCTAATGAATGCCAGATAATTTAAAAATAAATACAATTACAGCAGTTAAAAATGGAGAAGGACTATTAGATTACTGAATGCGTCCCTGAATACAGAATGCCTTAAATTAATCTTATATTAAATGTGATCTAAGCCAAAAGGTCAAGAAGAATTTTGCATATCTCCTTTAATTTAGAATTTCCTGGTCTTTATACAATATGTCTCAAAAGGTTAATACAGCAGCACCTGAAGGTGTGTTAATTTATTTCTCAGAAATCTACTTAACTTCTTTTAAGAAAATTATGCACTTTGCCTTACAGAAAACTCATCTCCAACGTAAAGATCTTGGACAGGACTTTAGTTTTTAGTTAGGTTACCTGTGCTTTCTTTAAGCTGAGTGCAAAGGGAAATATTGCTGTGCCTGTCTGCAGTCAGGTAGAACTGCTGCATCCAACCTCATTTGAGCTGCAGTTTCAACAAACACACATGGGAATGCAGTACTGGAAGAATATTTGATTGTGTTTGTTTACCAACAGTGTTGATGCCAAGCAGCTTTGCCTGGCAAAAAAAAAAAAAAAGAAGAAAAAAAAAGTATGAAATTTGATTTTTAATAATACCACAACTCTGATAGGAACTGTGTTACAAGAAATACCATTTCAGGACATCAGAAGACAGATGGTCTAAATGAAACAGCAATACATCAAAATCGCAAACCTTGAGTCTTGCAAAAGTTATTTTAAAGGGAACATAAACTTAAACCCATATTCCCAAAGTCACACCATGTAGCATTACTGTGATCACCAGTTGCCCCACTTCAGTTAGGTGGGGGGGATTTTTGTTTGTTCTGTTTGTGGTTATACCTGAACTTGCTCAAGACTCAAGTAATTTCTGTTTTGTTTTGGGGTTTTTTTGTGTTTTTCTTTAACAGCAGACCCTCAGGGAAGAATGGCAAAGTTGTTCCTAAACTTTTTAAACCAATAAATCACACTTAATTACCAAAATATCTGATACATTTCAGCTTGTTGCAGTCTGTATATGTTTTTAAACATTTTTTTCTCAAGGATCAAAGAGTTGCTTTGAAAACATCAGACATCTCAGTCCAGGATGAACTCTGTTTCTTTGAATCATCTTGATTCACAAATATGGATTCAAGAAAGCATTTTCTTGTAACAAAACCCTTCATTTTGGGTCAATTAAAAATAGATTCAAGAGCAAATAAGGTTCCTTAGCAACTTAAACAAAGCAGGGAAAACCAGAGTCATTGCCAACCACCAGGGGAAAACCAAAGTGTCTCATCTCTTTGCTAAATTACCTTGCTTTATTTCATTACCAGCCTCTTCAGGCCTGTTGTATGAGGGACATTTGCTGACACATGTTATGATTTCAGTAAGGATGCTTTCACTCTGCTAACAAGGCATGAGGAAGCCAGGCTGAGTGCAGGTCTCCTCATGTTTTCATTGAGGTGACTCTGCCCTGTACTCTGCTCTTAAGGGCTCTGGGGTCCCCAGCACAGGAAGGACATCGACCTGTTGGGATGAGGCACCAAAATGACAAGAGGGATGGAGGAAAGACTGAGGGAATGGGATTGTGTAGCCTGGAGAAGAGAAGGCTCCAGGGTGACCTCACTGTGGCCTTTCAGTACCTGAAGGGATCCTACAGGGAAGATGGAGAGAGACTTTTCAGAAGGGCAAGAAGTGACAGGACAAGGGGGAATGGCTTCACACTGAAGGAGAGTAGGTTTAGATTAGATATTAGGAAGAAATTCTTTATTGTGAGGGTGGGGAGCCACTGGAACAGGCTGCTCTGAGAAGCTGTGAATTCCCTATCCCTGGATGTGTTCAAGGCCTGGCTGGATGGGGCTCTTCTAGTGGAAAGTGCCCCTGCCCATGGCAGGGGGGTTGGAACTGGAAGGGCTTTAAGGCCCCTTCCAACCCAAACCATTCTGTGATTTTAATTTTTGCTTTGTGTTTCTTCAGCCTCTGGTTTGAGATGGTCACTGTTTTGGTGTTTTGGTTTACAGGCACCACAAACAACAAGCACTTGAATAACAATGATGTTTTAAGGAAAAACTACTGTCTACAGCAACAATTATGACAACTTCTACTTGGAGACCGCAAGGAAAGAGATCTGATAGATTATGAATAAAGAAAAAAATATTTTGTACATGATTATAAAAGCCTGCACAGTCCAGAATATCTTTTTTTAAAAAGCTCTTTTTTTTCTCAAGATATGTCTGGCAGACTGTAGCTGGAACCATATGCTCTAAACACTAGTTTGGATGCTCACCAATCTTTGGAAAGTCAAAGGGATCAATTAAGGTTTTCAGAATTTTAATCCAGGGGCAATTATTTTTGCAACAAACTCTTAAAACAGGTCTGACTGGCATAATTTGGATATCAATTACAACTCTTTTGATTCTGATTTTGCAAATAGCATCCTGAGTCATGGGCTGTGTTTAAGAAGTTGCACTCACTGTTGCCACACACTGTAGGAAAACATACTATTTTTTTATGTCATTACAAGTTAAGTAGTTGTTATCTTCATATCAAAGTGAGAATTTAAAAGTCTCAGATATGGGTATGATCTTACAGAGTTCGGGGAGAGTTTAATTGGCAAAACCAGGTGAGGATGGCAAAGGGACCACAAAACACTGGGAAAAATCCAGCCACAAGTCCGTTTTATGAGAATATATTTTAGAATCTCACAAATATTTACCTTCTCTTCTGCTGGAAAGCCAGGTTGAATCAGGTTTTATATTTTTTAAATTATTTATGTGAATGCTATCTGGAGAAAGAAGAGAAAAAAAAAAAAAGCCCTGCTAACATGTTGCAGCTCTGCCATCCTGTATATCCCAGTGGCTTCTGTTTTGAGAAGCAGCAAGTTCCTTGAATTTCTTCCTAATCTTTCTTAAGAGAGAAAGATGACTGAATCACATTGCCAACAGACCAAAGCAGAACTGTGCTGCTGATACGTGCCTCCTCTTTGTGCAGCGTGCACCAGCCTTCCCCCATTATTTTGTTGTACTCATAGCACTGGCAGGCCGAAGTTTTGGTGAGCAGATTGAATCTCCTAAGCCCTGGAAATGACAGCAATGTCTCCCATCACCTGCTGGATAAAGAAAAGCTTACTTTGCCTTGGTGTCCTCCTGCAGCATTTTATATCATTAAATGTTAGGCCACAAGGACTGATAAGAGATAAGCAGATGGCTCATGCCTTTCTCCTATCTTTTTGCCTGTTTTCCAGGGCACGGTTGCCTTTCCATCTTGCTCCCTAGCAAAATAACTGTGTTCTGCCTGTCTGTGGCTCAGGCTCCCAGTCAGTTTTAGATGCTACATCAAGGTACTTACAATAAGTAGCTCATCAAATAAAGGATTTAATAACTGGTATGAAAAAGGTATCAAACTATCACTCCAGACTTAAAAGGCCAGACTTTGTTTTTTTATTATCATAGCAGAAAAGTATTATCAGTTAAAATTATTACTTTTATTATTATTATTATTATTAGATACTGCTCTTAACCTAAACCAAAATTATCTTCTTTTCCTGAATAACTTATGGCTTCCTTTTCTCAAGCATTTTACCTGCCAACACATAAATACCATCACACAAGTCACAGTCCTGTTTTAAATTTTAAGTGATACTTGAAATTCTTAACCTTTTATTTCAAGGACCAAATTAATTTTTTAGCCCTGTGGAGTTGAAAGTTCAATAAGAGTTTCAAGCCAACCTGGACAGGGTCTGACTACCATGCTCAGGGATTGTTCAGGGAAATATCATGTTGCAAAAATGTGTCATTTTTCTGGGCACGGTGTTGCTGCAGGTTTTACATGGAACACATGAAGCCAATAAGCTGATCAGCTGCAATTGTTTTCACAGAATCATGGAATATCCTGAATTGGAAGGGACTCAAAAGGATTATCGAGTCCAACTCCTGGCCTGGAACAGGAAAGATCTATAGCCACCAAGAATCTACAATTAAAAGTACACTTTTCAAGGAAAAAATGGAGTTGAAGGGTGGTAGAAGCTCTTCAGTTTACTTCAGCTTTGAGCTGGATAAAGCAAACTTTACTTCCCTCCTGATGTGTTTTGTAATGATGCTTGAACAGTGACGAGGACTATTTAATCCTGCTCCAGCAGCCAGTGTGCTGAACTGGCACAGGAAATGCACATCAGTGGCCAAAGGGAGGATCAGATCACAGCCCCTCAGGTGCCTGTGGGTTTGTCTCTGCATAAGCATCCCAATCCCTGTCTCCAGATAAATGCCCCATTCCTATCCATTAAAGAAAAAGTTGAAGGGGAGGTGCTCCTAACACTACTAGCAGGGCTAGGGCAATATTCCCCCCCACCCCCCATGATATAGATAAAGGGCAGTTTTCCCATTTCTCCCACTGCCTCTAACATTTTGCCATGAACATTAATCCTGTTGGTGGAACATCCTTGCTGTTAGTGCTCTCAAGTGCTGACCACCCTATTGTTCATTTTGACTAATAAAAATGAAAGCAAGCAGCACGCTGAATGTACCCAGCAATTCTATATTGCTCACAAATTCCCCTGAATTAACATCTCATCTGCAGTGCAATGATCAACAATTTTACAGCCCTCCAGGATCAAAATAAGGCACTGGATAGAACATTTTGCAGAGTTATTTCACATCAAAATAATGGTACATTTGCAAATGGGTTTTCAATCCCTGGATAAGTTTTATCCATCTGCCCCCAAAACCAATCTAAGTCTTCAATTTTTTTAGCTGATCCTCACCTATAAAGCAGTATAACAAGCTCCAGTTTTCTATTTGCAAAATGAGACTGTGATGAGATACAATCCAGAAGATTTCCACGCCATGGCATATGTGAAGAATAGGGAGGGAAAAAATCCCATTACTTCCCCAATTAAGCTTTTTTTTGCTCTTTCTCTTAAAACACCACAATTTCCAACCCCCTGCGTGCTTCGCTGAGCTGCAGGGAGAAACTCGGGTTGCACAAGCACGGCCTGTGCAACTTAATTACCAAGATCTGAAGGAAACTCGTGTCCTCGGACAGCTTCTCCGAGGTTTCGCCACGAACGCTGCCTGATCTAATTAGGAAACACTCAGCATCTTTGTAGCAATTACTAAAGAAAATAATTATGACACGATATGACCACTGTCTTCTTTCAGATGGAAAAGTAGCAGAAAATTACAGGAAATGGAAGTCAGACAGGAGTTAATAAAACAGCCCTTGTCAAGGGAGGAGAGATGATTCCATGAGAAGGTACAAATTTTTTGACTGGAAAACAAGGAAAAAGTAGCACATTTCAAGCCAAGGACCAACAGAGTCCATTTAGTCATAAATGAGCCACAGACTCACCACAATATAGGCAGGTTATGCTTGCAGACACCTGCCCATCACAGGTTACTGTAGAAAAAGAGCCTTTAATGGTGCCACAGTTCATGGCTGCCCTACTGTCACACACTTGCCCTCCAGAGACACCAGGTGACAATGCATTAACAACTCTACATCTATTATGAATGAATTAAATTTCTTCCAACACAGAAACCAATTTGAATCATTGAAAATACTTCAAAGTTCCCACAGGAGTTAGTTCGGTGGTTACAACAGCGAGTTGGGAAGTGGAACACTTTTAATTGCAGCCTCAACCTTAATTAGTGACCTGCTGCAGGAATTTTGTCATGAGACTTCCCTGCCCTGCCTCAGTTTACTGATGTTTAGGGTATTAAAGAGTGGCTCTGGAGTAATCAAAATATGGTAGACACTTCCCAAAACAACGAAGGTGATCAGTACGGCGCTTACGCAACCAGAGGTGCGAGTCTTAATTAATGTTTATAAAGTGCCTGGAGAACCTGAGAGAGCTGCTGCTGAGGGAATACAAAGTAGCATTAAGCTTATTTTGCAAAGGGGTATGAATATGTGATTATAATTTTATTACCCACGCAGATTTATAAGGAGGGTTTGAGCACAAAAGAAATTAAACTTTTTGACACTTTCTCTGCAGCGCAGGTTCATTATCAGAGCTGTGTATCAAATGTAAAATGCAAATTTAATAACTCACTCACTTTCAACTGTGAAATCATACCCAAATCCTCACTATCTTCAAGCAATGGATGAGGAAAAAACTGTGTGACAAGAGTGTTTTAAAAGTCAGGATGGTTATGTGGATGCTACAGCATAGCACAGTCTAAGTATTTCCAGAGCATTCATTTACTGTAGCAGCTGTATTTCCCCCTACATTTTGATTATCTTGACATTTTCTAATCATGAGAGTTATAAATTTTAAAATGATATGGCAGGCTTGATAGGCTGCAGATTCAACCCCCCCAAGTGAAGTTACTTTGTTTTTATTAGATGTTAAATTGCTTTTCTCCAGAAGGAGAATTGTATTTTGGTTAATTTTTGCGTTTTGAATGATGCCAAAGATTTCTTCTGATAAGACAGTGGTCTGAGTGACAGCAGAGAGATTTTTCTTTTCGATAATCCTTGATAAATATTGACCAAAGATGTCAGTTCTGTCTTTCACCATTGAGATGAATTAGTTTAGGCACAATAACAGCAGAGGGTTTTTTTTAGTATGGCGCCTAGTATGAGTCAAAAGTTTCTAATCTGAGCTTAGAATTTGCACAGACTTTTTTTTTCCTCAGTAGCTCTGTCATTTTCAGGCAGGGTCTGAAATTTGATTGGGGAGGTACAGTTGCCTTCATGTTAAGGATGATGCTTTTCCTGCTCAACCCAAATTCCTGTCAATAATAGTCTTTGTAAAACAATCTACTCTGTATTTGTAGTCAAGTCTTTTTATCCAGGTACCCTCCATGTTCCCTTTACTGAGCAGTCCCATTTCCAGTACAAGATTTCCCTCCCAAGCTCCACATGAAGACGAGTTCCACCCAACCCAATTTCTGTTGAATCAACTTAGAGGTAACTCTACGACTTCTTTGCTTTCAGACAGATTTACCCAACTGAAAGCAATTAATTAATTGCTTTCAGCCCAACTGAAAGCAATTAATTAGCATGACCAGACTACATATCTCCCAACATCCACTCCCTTTCAGAAACTATTTGACTAATAATAATGGTCTATCACATGGTTACGAATTTAAACTTTTAGTTTAAATTTTTAAGAGACAATGCTATCAAGCCTCACTTCTTTACAGGTACCATACCTCTTTATTTTTTTCATAATTATTTCACTGCTTAACAAATAGATATAAAGGATTTAAAAAAAGAAACATTGCTGCATATCCTGGCAAAGAAAGACCCCAATGTGGGCTTGCAGTCCTCTGTCCTGAATCTACAGCTCACACACTGGACAATTGTGTGTAAGACTTTTCTGTTTTGACAGATACAACTTAAAGATGCAAACATATTCCAAGGCAGAAAGAATTGCAGCTTTTCAAATTATAAATGAGTTTTGTCTTTGAATCCCCTAACGTCACAGGGAGGAATGTGACCACTGTTAGCCCTAGTAGCGTGACATGAATTTGGATTTGAAGCCCAGCTCTCAAAAGGGGGTATTTGTGTACACTGAAGTCTTATTTTCTCTGCTAAAATGGCAAATAAAGCAGGTGCAGATGTCAGGTGGATAGCCAGGACCGAGATCTTCAACCATTATTCAGAAGACAACGCTCAGCAAATCTGCACTGAATACCAACAAACAGCTTAAGCCAAGATTAACACACTGCTTTCAATGCTGAGAGTCACGCCGGCCCTCTCAGCAAACACATCTGAAATATTCCTCAGCCACCTTTTTCAAGGGATCACAGGTTTAGTCAGGCTGACCTATGGCCCCTCCAGAAAGTCAATGCACTGAGAAGCCTATTACTTTTACTCATCCATATATCTCCCCAAGGATCTTCTCAAAAAAAAAAAAAAAAAAAAAAAAAGTCGCATCGCAAAGTCTTCCTTGTTTGCAGAACTCGTTCTTCCCGCATATATTTACAGTGACCGAGCTCTTTGTTTAGACACACACAGAGTTTCTCTCAAAATACAGCTATCTCAGAGAGCAAACAGCAAGGCAGAAAAAGAAAACAGATTATCAATGCTGTCTCTGCAGCAGAGCTGAACGAATTCCCTAAAATACTTAACCCATAGATAAAGCTCTGATGGCAACATCATTACCCAAGACCTTCAGAGAGACCAACGTGTGATGACCAAATGGTTATAAACACAAGGAGCTCAAAGTTAGATTGCCTTTGAAGTAATCAGATCACATCACTCTGTACTGTAATACAAATACAATGCCTTGGGGAAATAAAAGAAGAAAAGGACTATTTTTCATTCTTTTTTGGTAGATCCTGTGGTGTCCTAGTAACAGAACCACATCCCTTAAACTAACTGTAGAGCTTATGGTGCTGAAGCCTCTCAAAGCCACTGCAACTACACATGTTTTATAGCAGAGCAGAAATAACCTCCTCATTTTACATTCTGTAAGAAGAGGAAGGTGGTTTAGAAATACATCCATTTATGTACTCATTTCTATTCCTGGCAATTTAAAAAGATCTACCCAGTCAAAAGAGGATGGTGGGTAATAGAAGAAATATCCTCTTCTACATATGAACAACCAGCAATATAAAGCATAAAAATGTGAATTGGGCACCAATTTGGATTCTTAGGTCTTAATATTACAGCTGTAATGCTTCATGCTGACCTTGGATATACATAGATGTGTCCTCTCCTAAAATTTAAAAGAAGCCTTCAAGATATTTTGCTGTGGAACAGCAGCAGGATATGTACACTTCATAGCCTGGTTCTCCAATCAGACTGAAAAGGCTTTATGAAGAAAAAGAGGTATCATTAGCTCTACTTAATAATGGGAAACAGGCACAGAGGGGTGAAACGATTTGCTTACACTTACACCATCACCAGATACATAAGTAGGAATAGGACCCCCAAACCCCTCAGCCCCATCCACTCTGATGCTGTCTCTAACAAGAAATTAGCTTTTAACACAAGTAAGAAATACTTGTTCCAAACTCCACGAAAGCAAAGAACTTCCAGCTAGGGAAAAACAATTTTATTCAGTTTTCTGCAGAAGAATGTCACCTTTTGAGGTTTGTTGTCATTTCATTCGTATTTTATTCCCTTACAGTATAGCAACCAACAGACTCATCACTCCTTTGAAGTTTCTTTCTTTTTCCCAACTGGCATTAGCTACACAGACAATTCTTCTCTCCCCTTCAGCAGGGAAGGGTGAACTGTAGTAGAGCTGTCTAGCACAGGTTTAGGATATTATTTGCTATGTCTCTGTACATTGCTATAGTGTATCTATTTTCATAGCTAACTTTCAAAGCAACACAATAATAAATAATAATGAATTTTCTAGGAATCAACAAAGTGGAGACAAGGAAATACAGCCCTGTACAAAGCAGGCTCCATGCAATGACACCGACAAGAAGAGAAAGAGATGAAATTTTCATGTCAAGGTGAAAAGAAGTAACAGAGAGGGTGTAAGAGTGGAGACTCTGAAATGATCTTGCAATTGAAGGGCAAAGAGGCAGGTAGAGAGACCAGAGGGAAAAGAAAAGCTCTGTCAGTGACAGAGTAATGGGAGAACGAAAAATAAGCAAGCAAGAAAGGAGAACTTGTGGGTCTTCATGCCAGTATTGGCAGGATCTTGGAACTGGAGATACAAGAGGTAGGAGAGAGGCTGTGGGAATGAGCCACCATTTACATATTAGCCATCTGCACTGTTTGCAAGGAGAGGGAGCAGACCAGGTCTGCCAGTCAGTGAATAGCTACACCTTTGCTGCAAACTGCCAGGATGTTCATGTCACCCACTGAACTCAACACACAACTCCACCTCACTCCACCACAAGTGATCCCAGGGGCAGATCATACAATGGACCTCCTCCTTTGGCACAGCAGGAAAGAACTGATCCTGTTTGTCTGTTAAGGCAGCTCTGAGGCTCTTGGTAACCACTTCTTTTATTACAGCTGCTCTGGTCCAGTCTTTAGCAATCTAATCTACCATCCAACAGGCTTCTGACTGACTGCTGGTAAGTTGGATGAATTTCCGGATCTAAGGAAACTTAGTTAACTAAAGAAAGGCATGTTTTGGACTGAAGGCAGCCCTGGAAACAAAGTTTACCATGGCACTGACTTTCCCTTTGCTACCATTTCTGATTTAACCAAACATTTTCGTTTCCTATGTTCCTTGAATGGTCTTTAAACCACTCCTGTAGGTGCTAAACCTACCTATCCTAAAATATGTTTAATTGCATACAGTGTATGAATGACTGCAATTGAGCACTTAGAAAATGACCTACATTGAATATAATCTGCTATTGAAATACATTAATTTGTTATTCATTTTGTGCTGTTCTTTTCAGAGAAGATGTTCAAGATCTCTTCAAAGTATTGCTTTAAGAGTAACACCAGCTATGGTCTGACTACGAGCCTGTGAAGTCTTTTCTTTTGTTCAGTTTGAGCTGAAATCCAGATATTCACCATCCAGCATCTGCCTGGTCATTCTCTTGCTTTCCTTCTTCCACCTTGCAAGGACATCATATCACTTCATCTCTATCAACTGTACCAAAGTGCTGTGGCCTGTTCTGTCTCTGGAAGATTTCCAATACTTTGAGAAAGCAGATTGCAGTGTACCAGTAATTGCAGTTAAAAAGAGTACATAGCTCCAGTAGCTGTTATTTATTCATTTGACATTCTTAAACATACACTTGGAATACCTACAGAGTTTCAACAAAGCCTCAGTGAAGTCTACACCTGCACTTAGTTTTTTATCCCTGTAATTTGCAGGTCGGTCTTGTGGTTTCTTTTATTGCCAATAATTAAGTGATTCAAGGTAGATTATTTCACTCACGAAAATTTACATTGCTCTAAGAAAATATGCTCCGGGAAAGCTGTGCTGCAAACCATTCCCACTTGTCTCTTCATGGAAACTCCCCAGAAAATCCCCAGAAATCAAGTACCTTGTTCCTCAGTGCTGAGTGCTGCTTCACTGATGTAAAGGAAAAGAAGGAATGTGGTTTCTCACAGAGCTGCAGAGTTACTGGGGATTGTAGGGACCTCTGAGCATCATCTAGTCCAAACTCTGCTCAAAGCAGTGTCAGCTAGAACAGTTTGCCTTGGGCCATGTACCTCCAGGCTGGACAGTCCACAACCTCTCTGGGCAGCCAGTGCCAACCTTCAGACACCTTGACTGTAAAGAAGATTTCTTATATTTAAATGGAATTTCCTGAATTTCATCTTGTACCCATCACCTCTAGTCCTTTCACTGGATACCACTGAGAATCTGGCTCTGTTTCTACATCCTCCCATCAAATATTTATACACATGGATAAAATACCCTGAACCTTGTCTTCTCTGGGATGGCTTCTTCCCATTTTCCGAAGAAGGCCTCATGTTCTTCTTCCTTAGCTGTCAGTCTCTGGTAAATACCCACCACAGCACCAGCTGCACTGGTCTGCTCTCTGAGAGTGACCCAGCAGCTCCCAGCTGGCTCATCATCCATCTCAAGGTAGAGCTCTATCAATTCTCCCTCCACTCCCATGTAAAGTGCAAAACCTGCTGTGGATCCTCACTGCCCTGCCCTGTCACCCCTATGATGTTTCTGCCCCACTTGGCCAGGCAGATCCTGTCTCTTTGTAGCCATCTTTGATTCCCAAAGGAGATCCCATGGTCATAAAAGCCAGATCCTTGTTGCTGACACCAGCTGTGCAAGACAGGATCTGTCCACTCCTTTTCTAGCCTTCCCAGCTTAAGGAGAAAACCATCTGGGCCACATGTCCTCAGCCATGACCTGTGAAACCACGTGGACATGCTTCACATGCTCCAGGTTTCCTCAACTGCATCACCACTGCTGCCCACTTGGAAGTGGCCTGACAGGCCTAAGCAGTGAGTCTACAACATCCCAGATGGGAGCCACTGGTCAGCTGAAAACATCAAAACATCAGATTGACAGATGGGGAACTACAACTCCTGAGGAGGGAGGCACCCGCTGCCATCAGCCATCCTTCTCAGGCCCAGTAGACTCAAGATGGACAGAGCTCCCAGTCCCTCATCTGCACCCAGAAACTGTTCTGTAGTTGCAGATTTGCAGTTGGAGCAGGAACCTTCCTCCTGAGGCCAGAAGTCAAAAGCTCCTGCCTTTGCCACCATGGAAGACTTCATTTCCCAACCTGACAAGCACAGACTGAAGACCAGCATGTCCTTCAGTACAGTTGGGGGTCCAAATTTTTGTATCTTCAGGGTCTTGAAGAATCAGTTAATCTCTTTCTGGACCACTTCTGCACCAGCTGCTGCCTTTGGGATCTGGGCTTTAAGGCCAGCAGCTGTATAGGCTTCTCCATAGCACAGCTGAAAGGGTGCTTGATGTTCTCTAAGAGTCTGCCGGGAAAAAAAAAAAACAGTTTGAAGCACCCCAGATCAGGAATAGCTGGCAGAAGCTGCCAGAGTCTGCTGGAAGACAGGCCTCCTGTAGCTATCCTTAACCAACCAAAGCCACCACCCTGGAAATCCTTGAAGATTTCCCAAGAGTCCTCTGACAGCCCTAGAGGTTCCCATGAGACCTCCAGGGAAAATACAGAAACTGCTCCTCTGTCTGGCTGCGCTCACCTCCTGAGTTTTACTGCTGAAAGCATCCCTTCTCATTTGGAAACAGAGGGAAGAGTACAACGTTACAGATAAACAATACAAAAGCCATCAAGTGGAACTTCTTAGGTTGCAGAGGAATAAAGTTGCTAAATCCTAACCCATCGCTGGCCCAAACAGTGCTAACTGACATTTATTCAGAAACACTGCAAATCTCTGCATTTCTTTGACAATATCCGGTTTTCTTGATGCCTTGATTTTCCTGTGTAATCAACAGCTGTTACAAATCTCCATATAAAAAATGAAATGGAAATATTTTAATGATTTTTTTTGAGGTGATGGAGGAAATGGTAAAACAATAACAAGTTTGCAATTTTGAGATTATTTAAAACCCATCTCTGAAACTCAAACTTGCAAACATTAAGGGACCACTATGGTAGATCAATGAGGCATTACATATACTCTACAAATGAGATACTGATTTGAAACTGTACCAGAGAGAACAGTATCTGAACTTCCCGAGAAACAGATAATGCTGGCAGACAGATGACTGACTTCTGTTCTATAGTGTTGACATCAGGAAAGTTACTTGATCACTTGTCCAGAAAGAAAGCACTTGTAGCTGTTCTTGTAGCACTAGTTGTTACTCTTCTAGGACTACAGGAAAAAGTAGAGGTCAATACACTGCCATGCTGTATTTATACATTTTTGCAGAAAGTGCAGAAATATCTTATTCTCACCCCTCTGTCTTCCCATTTACAAAAGAAAAACTAATTCCAAGGGCAATGGTTACCTATGACTTTTTTTTCTTGAGGTTGATTGACTCAACAACAGCTGATTCTAAGATACTTTGCGATATTCTTTTTATCTTCTATGATATGGGCTTGGTAGTGCCTGTGAAGGTTTATGCCCGAACTGCAGCCTGCTTCTCAGTGCCTGTCCCTGATTCCCTCAAGTCTGTCTCCTCGCCCAGATTTCATAAATTTGCAGGAATTTCACTGTCCCTGAGCTCTCTACCTCTTTATCAAAGTGCATTAAAAAATTGTGAACAAATCCAAAAAACCCTGGGGGAGACTGAAGGAGAAAAGAAAGACAGAAATGAAAACACACTTTTTCTTTCTTTACAGAGAGAAATGATGACACATTTTGTTCTGCTCCCACAAAGTGGTTCCACGAGCCAGTGCATGCAGTAATTCCCGTCCTTTTCAGTACTTGAACACAGATGTATGAAGGCACAAAATCACCATTCATCTTCCCAACACATGTTCAGTTCTACTCTCCAAAACCCTCCTTTTTCTGAGACCTCTGGTGCCAACTCTGCCAGACAGAAACCCAGACAACTGCTCTGACCTGCTATTGTAATTCCTGCATTCTGGCTCCCATATAGCATTCGTGTCCATGACCTGATTTGCACATCCAGATGAGGATACAGGGCAGGACAGAGAAGGAACAGCATGTTATGACCTCCAAGTGGTATTTCTCCTCATGTATTGACTGAGTTGAGAAAGTCAGTTACAATGCCAGGCTCTTCGAGATGCTGAAGCTGAGATCAAAGTTAGCAAATAAAAATGCCAAGTGATAGATGTTCCTGTGCATCACAAATAGCAGCATTGTCAGCCAGTGAGTTCAGTGGGAAACATCCAGCTGCCCATGTTGGGAAGTTGTTGAGGAGAGAAGCTGGAATACTTAATACTTCATGTATTTAACGGGTCATTTCCACACTTAACAATAAACACAATGAGCACCCACACAGTGCATGAACTGATGTCTGAAATACCAGCCATTACATCAACT